AAAAAAAATGCATTTTACTCCCTATGTACCATTTTAGTCAAAGTGGCTATGTTTCTTGACGTACAGGGAAATAAAATAAAAAATTTATACTAGATATTCTGAAACTCATTCAGCCTAAGTTTTGCTGAAATTGATTCAGCAGTTTTAAAGCAAGCAAACTAGATGAACAAATTCAGAAAAATTGTCTTTAAAGGGCAGTAACTCCTTAAGGGGTCAATTGACAATTTTGGTCATGTTAAACTTTTTTGTAGATCTTACTTTGCTGAACATTTTTGCTGTTTACAGTTTATCTTTATCATTAATAATATTCAAGATAACTAAAAACTTCAGTTTCCTTAAAATTACCAATTCAGTGGCAGCAACCCAACAATGGGTTGTTAGATTCATCTGAAAATTTCATGGCTGATAGAACTTGACCTAATGAACAATTTTACTTCATATCAGATTTGCTCTAAATGCTTTAGTGTTGGAGATATAAGCCAAAAACTGCATTTTAACCCTATGTACTATTTTGGCCATGGCGCCCATGTTTTTTGACGAAACAGAAAATAAGGCACAAACTTTATTCTAGATACCCTAAGGATCATTCAGCTTAAGTTTATTTGGAATTGGTTTAGTAGTTTCAGAGGAGAAGATTTTTTAAAGTTAGATAACATGATAAACAAATAGTGAAAAATTTTCCTTAAAATGCATTAACTCCTTAAGGGGTCAATTGACAATTTTGGTCATATCAACTAATTTGTAGATCTTACTTTGCTGAACATTTTTGCTGTTAACAGTTTATCTTTATCATTAATAATATTCAAAATAATAACCAAAAACTGCAAAATTTCCTTAAAATTACTAATTTAGTGGCAGCAACCTAACAATGGGTTATCAGATTCATCTGAAAATTTTCAGGCTGATAGAACTTTACCTAATGAACAATTTTACCCCATGTCAGATTTGTTCTAAGTGCTTTGGTTTTTGAGATATAAGTCAAAAACAGCATTTTACCCCTATGTTCTATTTTTAGCCATGGCGACCATGATTTTAGACGAAACAGAAAATAAAACACAAACTTTATTCTAGATAAGGATCATTCAACTAAAGGTTGGAAGGAATTGGTTCAGTAGTTTCAGAGGAGAAGATGTTTGAAATAGTTTACACCAGACGGACGACGACGACAGACGACGAAGACAACAATGGACGCCAAGTGATGGCAAAAGCTCACCGTTCCAAAGGAACGGTGAGCTAAAAATGTATTTAATATAAAACAAGAAATGATTGTAACAGGATGCTGTTACGAAGTCTCCCAAACGAAGCTCCCATAATTCGTAATTCCCAGGGTCGCCTGACATTGGGCAACGTCCAGTGAAAATTGTTTTGGTCCAGTAAAGTTATATGCATTAGTGATGCCTGGGGACTAACCTTGTATATCATTCAAATCATCTTGGCATGACAAACCAGAATATATATGGTTTAGGGGTGGGGATCTCGACCATTTACAAGATACTAGAACATTGGGGGTGGGGAGGAACCCCTGGGGACTGGCCCTATACGTCATTCAAATGTTCATTACATGACGAACAGGAATATATATGGTTTAGGGGTGGGGATCTCAACCATTTACAAGATATTAGAACATTGGGGATGGGGGGAACCCCTGGGGACTGACCGTATACGTCATTCAAATGTTCGAGACATGACAAATAGGAATATATATGGTTTAGGGGTGGGGATATTAGAACTTTTTTAAATGGCAGGGGGTGGGGGTGACCCCTGGGGACAAACCCTGTATTTCATTTGATGTGCTTTATCATGGCAAACCAGAATATATATGGTTTAGGGGTGGGGAATTCGACCATTTACAAGATATTAGAACTTTCTCAAATGGCAGGGGGTCGGGATGACCCCTGGGGACTAACCATGTATATCATTCAAACCATCTTAGCACGACAAACCAGAATAAATATGGTTTAGGGGTGGGGATCTTGAAAACTTACAAGATATTAGAACTTTCTTAAATGGCAGGGGGTGGGGGTGACCCCTGGGTACTAACCCTGTATTTCATTTGATGTGCTTTATCATGACAAACCAGAATATATATGGTTTAGGGGTGGGGATCTCGACCATTTACAAGATATTAGAACTTTCTCAAATGGCAGGGGGTCGGGATGACCCCTGGGGACTAACCCTGTATATCATGCAAACCATCTTAGCATGACAAACCAGAATATATATGGTTTAGGGGTGGGGATCTTCACCACTTAGAAGATATTAGAACTTTCTTAAATGGCAGGGGGTGGGGGTGACCCCTGGGGACTAACCCTGTATTACATTTGATGTGCTTTTATCATGACAAACCAAAATATATATGGTTTAGGGGTGGGGATCTCGACCATTTACAGGATATTAGAACTTTCCCAAATGGCAGGGGGTCGGGATGACCCCTGGGGACTAACCCTGTATATCATTCAAACTATCTTAGCATGACAAACCAGAATATATATGGTTTAGGGGTGGGGATCTTGACCACTTAGAAGATATTAGAACTTTCTTAAATGGCAGGGGGTGGAGGTGATCCCTGGGTACTAACCCTGTATTACATTTGATGTGCTTTATCATGACAAACCAGAATATATATGGTTTAGGGGTGGGGATCTCGACCATTTACAAGATATTAGAACTTTCTCAAATGGCAGGGGGTCGTGATGACCCCTGGGGACTAACCCTGTATATCATTCAAACCATTTTAGCATAACAAACCAAAATATATATGGTATAGGGGTGGGGATCTTGACCAATTACAAGGTATTAGAACTTTCTTAAATGGCAGGGGGTGGGGGTGACCCCTGGGGACTAACCCTGTATTTCATTTAATGGGCTTTATCATTTAGAACATTTTCAATTAAAAAGATTGTGTCTATCACAAACGGTTTTCAATTTATAATCATTTTAAAATTTTAAAAAATAAAATCCCAAAGGGTTCTATAGTAAAACCCTCTTTTCTTTTTGCCCCTCAAAGTACCCCTTTATAAACCCCATTGCACAAACAAAACCCTGATTGCACCACTAGACATGTTAGTCTAACATATTGTGAAACCCTAAGTTAATCTGACAAGCGGTTTTGGAGAACGTGTGCCGACAAGTTCAAATTTAAAAGCGGTGGAAGAAGAAGAATAATAATAATAATAAGAACTGAGCAAAAACAATAAGTCTTCCCAAACTTCGTTTGGGAGACTTAATAAAAGAACAGAGTTCCAATGTCCCCCGCGTTGCACATATTTTATATTTCCAAGGGGCATAACTCTTTTAAAAAAAGTTGATTGTCCACCATTATAGAACTTGTCCGAGATATTGCTGATATTAACCTATAGTATAAGTTTTATAAAAATCTGGCAAGAATTGTACCCATGAGAGCGCTAAAGAGGCCATTTTCCATAAATTTAATATTTCCAAGGGGCACAACTCTTTTTAAAAAAGTCAAACGTCCACCATTATAGAACTTGTCCGAGATATTGCTGATATTAACCTATAGTATAAGTTTTATAAAAATCTGGCAAGAATTGTACCTGTGAGAGCGCTATTTCCATGTCCCCCGCAACGCGTTACTCGGGGGACAATAAAGGGGGAGTATTAAGACCTAACATGTTCAATCCCACCACATGATGTTGTGCCTGTAGTCCAGTTAATATCATTAGTTGATATAAATCATTTTTGTCTTTTGTTTGTTTTAGTGTCAATCAGGTTTTTAGTTTTCTCTTTTGAATTGTTTCACATTTTGTAATCCCGGGACTTTTAATAGTTTACTATGCATACAGTATAGATTTTACTCATTGTTGAAGGTCAAGTGGTGACATGCATCTGTTTACAACCTATGACTTGTACTTCTGCATTTTGTGAATACTGTGGATTCATTATTATTCGTTGGATAACAGTTTTCGTGGGTTTTATGGATATAGGTGAACCAAATTTATATGTTCAACGAATGACAAATGTCCTATGGGCTTGAATGCAGACTTTGGCAAAACCACAAATTTAAATATCCACGAAACTGTCAGTTTTCCTTAATCCACGAAAATTGGTACCCACAAAATTAAATTAATTCACAGTAGTTTGTCTAATTGGCAGTAATACCACATCTCCTTATTTTCTATATTGTTTGAGAAATTAATTTAACTAAACTTAACTTCAATTTTCCATTGTGAACTTTTAAGAGCTTGTGTCCTAGTATTAATTAAATAGGGTGCTGCTGTCTGCAAGGAAGCTACTAAATCAAAATTTATGTTTATTGGTAAGATAAAATTGACTATTAAATTGGTTTAGTAATAGATGAACATAAATATGTTTGATATCCTGTAGCCAAAATCAAGCCCATCATCTCTTCATTTATAACTTATCACAGACATCATCTTATAATCAGAAAATTACTTGTCATGAAGGTGACCGAGTAGTCTAAGAAGTCAAACTACAGTGTATCACTAGCTGTCAACACTGAGGTTGTGAGTTCAAATCCAGCATGTGGCAGGCGCGCTCTACTCCAATCTTAATTGACAAGGATTGTCAAATTTCCTGCCAAAGGTCTGTTGTTCTCTTTGGCCTCCTCCACCAATTAAAACTGACTGCCATAAAATAGCACAATAGTGCTGGAAGTGCATTAAACACCAATCAATCAATCATGTCATGAGTAACATGATGGGTACTATTAGTGGAGTACTGCTTACTCTTGTATTTTACACAGAATTTTGTAAAGGGTTCATGTTTCTCAATCTTTATTTTGATTTGTAGTGATTTGTGACTTCTCCCTTCATAGTAACATCTTAATTTTTTCATACATAATTTCTTATTAGATGATATAAGAAGATGTGGTATGAGTGCCAATGAGACAACTCTCCATCCAAGTCACAATTTGCAAAAGTAAACCATTATAGGTCAAAGTACGGCCTTCAACACGGAGCCTTGACTCACACCGAACTATTATAATAGAGACAGTCATATTTCATTAATCATTAGATTACCTTTTAAATGGTCAAGAATCTTCTTAACTTGTTTTTGCAGAACAGGACTCAATCTAATTTCTATATCAGCAGGATCCTTCTTTCCACCGATTCTTATCAAAATCTGTTCACAAATAAAACAAAAAACATGAAACTGATTTAAGAAATATAATTCCATTGCAGACATATAAACAGGTCTTACACCTTTCCATAAAAGCACCTTGGACACATGAAATTCATAAAGTTTTTTTTTCTCAGCCATTTACAAAATGACCTCCGCTGCTCTTTAAATGGGCATTAAATAAACAATTTACAATGCATGGGCTCAATAATATGTATCAGCATTTCGTGTATATTTTAGCCTAGATGCCATCTAATTAACCATTGAAGTGACCTCCGAAGACTACCGATGGTCATATAACCCGATATAAACATAAATAAAGATATAAACAGATAGCGAACTTGTGCAATTTGATTTTTCTAGTTCTGTTTGATTTCATATTAAAGGTTAAAAATATATGTAAATCATCGTTTTAACCTGTATAAGAATGAGTTTTTGTGGATCGAATCAGTTTATCAAATGGTTTACCCTTGTTTCACTTTCAATGTTGACATTCTTTTCCTTTTAATAACTGAACACACTTAATTCATTTGTAACCCATCTCTAGATAAAGGGTTAAAATGAAGGTCACTTGAATACAGATTCAATGAGGTCGAATTATTCACTTGCAAGTAAATAATTCATCAGTGATGTTTCTTAGCTTATTTTGACAAAATTGAACCAAACTGGCTGCTAAAGGGGAATTATTATTTCACTAGTTCACTTTCATTAATGATTCAGGGGTTAAAAAAATTTGTTACAGCTATAACTAGCCCAAAACTTATTGGAAGCGGAATTTTACTAGTCCTTTTGATAAAGCTTCTAGCCCAGCAAAACAGACCTGCTAGCCCAGGCTTCTAACAAATATTTGAGTCAGCTGGACATTTTCCTCTGATTCAGATTTCCATCGCAGAAGACTTGGTAACAAAGGCAATCATTGTAAGATTGTTGGCATCATAAGAATGATTCACATTAAAAACGACATTTAACTTCAAACTTCTGATATAAATTTGATGTTCTGACGTAAACTGTTAAATTGACAGTGCATCATACCAAGTGTTCAACATAAGTGTACTTATTATTATTATTATAACCTTACTTAGACTCTTTATATATCTTTAATATGTATTTCTTAAAGGCTAAATCATTTTACAAAGTAACAGGTCATATCAATCAATGCATCATACCCCTTGTACCGTTAATTGAAAGTCTCGGCTTGAGCAATGTACTATACCCCCAGTACTGAGAAATCGACAATGAAAGTATAGGAATTTTGATTAATACATGATACCGGACCACCCAGTTATTCGTTCTATTTTTAAAACATGTAAAACATCAGTTCAAATTCCTGGAATCCTAAATGAAGCAATTGAATCCGATTGACTAAGATGAAAATAGTAAGGAAGGGATATACAGAAGGTATTTTCTATTTCTATTTTGGTAACGCCACAAACTTTTTTTACTAGTCAATCGGGCATAATGAAGACAAGTTTTGATTGCCCGAGGTGTAAATGTTTTAGTCCCGGGCGTCGGACTAGTGGATTTCTAACCCCTGAATGACTGAACCAAAAAAATCATATTTTAATTTTTTTTTTTATCTCGTAGCTTATGCCCTTTTAACTAGATAACAGATAATAGACATAACATAACCATCAATCAACAAAAGTGCACATGCTGAAATGTCTCACCTGCTTTACTGATCATTGATTTTATGTTGAAAGTCTTAAAGATAAAGGTTTTACTAAAAGCATTACAGAAACTTAACATTTTTAATGATCTATGACAATGAGGTCAAGGTCAGATAAATCGTGTCAGACAGACATATACACCTTACAATTTTTTTATACACCAAATATAGCTGACCTATTGCTAATGCTAATTAAATAAATGGGGAATGTGTCCATAAGACACAGATGATGCCCCCGCTTGCATATAACGTTATAAAGGGCCATAAGTTACTCAAGAACTGTAAAAGTGACACTACCCAAATTTTATGGTAATAAGCATTGTTTATAAGTTTCATAACATTTAGTTGACGTAAACTTAAATTAGAGAACAGAAAAGAAAAATTCAGCAATTTTTCCATTTTTAAAGGGGCCTAACTCTTGAACAGTAGAAGTGACGTCACCAAAATTCAATTTTTATCTGTGTTTTGTGGTAATTAGCATTGTGCATAAGTTTCATAACATTTGGTTGAGGCAAACTGAAGATAGAGAACAAAAACTAATATTTCAGCAATTCTGAGATTTGTAAAGGGGCATAACTCTAGAACGGTAAAAGTGACGCCACCAAAATTCAAACTTTATCTGTGTTTTGTGGTAATAAACATTGAGGATAAGTTTCATAACATTTGGTTGAGGCAAACTAAAGTTAGAGAACGGAAACCAATTTGGGACGTACAGACGTACAGACGGACAAGGGTAAAACTTAATGCCCCCTCCGCCATGGCGGGGGCATTGAAACAGACCAAAACACAAAAACTTAACATTGACCATTAATAAAGTCTCAGAGTGTAACTATGCTACAACAAGTGTCATAAATTAATGTTGACTTTTTAAAAACATTATAGGGCTCATAAAATTTACTCTTAGGTATAGGGGCTTAGCAAAATCTTAAGGTTAAAGTCCTAGGCTTGGACCTGGCTAGAATAAAAAAAACAACCCTGTCTTCTCAGGTATCTTAACTACCATTCCAATAACATTTTAAAAGATTTGGTAGCAAAGAAATGAAATGGACCTTGAATTTTCAGTCTACAAAAAATGTTAAAAGGTCGAGGACAATAGAAGAAAAAATGATAACAAAACCTAACAACTGCCCTTTGAAGTCAGTCCACCACAGACATCTTTCTTTTAACAATGATTATATTATAGATTAATCATATATAAGGACTAAAGTAATTAACTTTATAACGGTTTGACCAGGTGGTGTCACAAATGATAACACCCAAACAAACAATCAACATACATAGAACAATAACTTACTGCCTGTATGGTTTCAACAAATTGTTGATATTTATGTGAATCCATCGATCTCATTTTAATGATCTTTTTGTACCAAGACTGTAGTCTGTATAAGTCTGCTGATAAACTGATATCATGGCTGTCTGGTTCTGTATTTGGAATCTGTACAGCTTTAACCATAGAAACTAATGTAACCAGTGTCTGGAATCCTGGTCTGTTTGTTAGCTGTGGTACTGTGTCTCCTGTAAGATAAACCATAGAGACTAATGTAACCAGTGTCTGGAATCCTGGTCTGTTTGTTAGCTGTGGTACTGTGTCTCCTGTAAGATAAACCATAGAAACTAATGTAACCAGTGTCTGGAATCCTGGTCTGTTTGTTAGCTGTGGTACTGTGGCTCCTGTAAGATAAACCATAGAAACTAATGTAACCAGTGTCTGGAATCCTGGTCTGTTTGTTAGTGTCGGTACTGTGGCTCCTGTAAGATAAACCATAGAAACTAATGTAACCAGTGTCTGGAATCCTGGTCTGTTTGTTAGCTGTGGTACTGTGTCTCCTGTAAGATAAACCATAGAAACTAATGTAACCAGTATCTGGAATCCTGGTCTGTTTGTTAGCTAGGTACTGTGGCTCCTGTAAGATAAACCATAGAAACTAATGTAACCAGTGTCTGGAATCCTGGTCTGTTTGTTAGCTGTGGTACTGTGGCTCCTGTAAGATAAACCATAGAGACTAATGTAACCAGTGTCTGGAATCCTGATCTGTTTGTTAGCTGTGGTACTGTGGCTCCTGTAAGATAAACCATAGAAACTAATGTAACCAGTGTCTGGAATCCTGGTCTGTTTGTTAGCTGTGGTACTGTGGCTCCTGTAAGATAAACCATAGAAACTAATGTAACCAGTGTCTGGAATCCTGGTCTGTTTGTTAGCTGTGGTACTGTGGCTCCTGTAAGATAAACCATAGAAACTAATGTAACCAGTGTCTGGAATCCTGGTCTGTTTGTTAGCTGTGGTACTGTGGCTCCTGTAAGATAAACCATAGAGACTAATGTAACCAGTGTCTGGAATCCTGGTCTGTTTGTTAGTGTAGGTACTGTGACTCCTGTAAGATAAACCATAGAAACTAATGTAACCAGTATCTGGAATCCTGGTCTGTTTGTTAGTGTAGGTACTGTGTCTCCTGTAAGATAAACCATAGACACTAATGTAACCAGTATCTGGAATCCTGGTCTGTTTGTTAGCTAGGTACTGTGGCTCCTGTAAGATAAACCATAGAAACTAATGTAACCAGTATCTGGAATCCTGGTCTGTTTGTTAGTGTAGGTACTGTGTCTCCTGTAAGATAAACCATAGACACTAATGTAACCAGTATCTGGAATCCTGGTCTGTTTGTTAGCTGTGGTACTGTGGCTCCTGTAAGATAAACCATAGAAACTAATGTAACCAGTGTCTGGAATCCTGGTCTGTTTGTTAGCTGTGGTACTGTGTCTCCTGTAAGATAAACCATAGAAACTAATGTAACCAGTGTCTGGAATCCTGGTCTGTTTGTTAGCTGTGGTACTGTGGCTCCTGTAAGATAAACCATAGAAACTAATGTAACCAGTGTCTGGAATCCTGGTCTGTTTGTTAGCTGTGGTACTGTGTCTCCTGTAAGATAAACCATAGAAACTAATGTAACCAGTATCTGGAATCCTGGTCTGTTTGTTAGCTGTGGTACTGTGTCTCCTGTAAGATAAACCATAGAAACTAATGTAACCAGTGTCTGGAATCCTGGTCTGTTTGTTAGCTGTGGTACTGTGTCTCCTGTAAGATAAACCATAGAAACTAATGTAACCAGTGTCTGGAATCCTGGTCTGTTTGTTAGTGTCGGTACTGTGGCTCCTGTAAGATAAACCATAGACACTAATGTAACCAGTGTCTGGAATCCTGGTCTGTTTGTTAGCTGTGGTACTGTGGCTCCTGTAAGATAAACCATAGAAACTAATGTAACCAGTGTCTGGAATCCTGGTCTGTTTGTTAGCTGTGGTACTGTGGCTCCTGTAAGATAAACCATAGACACTAATGTAACCAGTGTCTGGAATCCTGGTCTGTTTGTTAGCTGTGGTACTGTGGCTCCTGTAAGATAAACCATAGAAACTAATGTAACCAGTGTCTGGAATCCTGGTCTGTTTGTTAGTGTCGGTACTGTGGCTCCTGTAAGATAAACCATAGACACTAATGTAACCAGTGTCTGGAATCCTGGTCTGTTTGTTAGCTGTGGTACTGTGGCTCCTGTAAGATAAACCATAGAAACTAATGTAACCAGTGTCTGGAATCCTGGTCTGTTTGTTAGCTGTGGTACTGTGGCTCCTGTAAGATAAACCATAGACACTAATGTAACCAGTGTCTGGAATCCTGGTCTGTTTGTTAGCTGTGGTACTGTGGCTCCTGTAAGATAAACCATAGACACTAATGTAACCAGTGTCTGGAATCCTGGTCTGTTTGTTAGCTGTGGTACTGTGGCTCCTGTAAGATAAACCATAGAAACTAATGTAACCAGTATCTGGAATCCTGGTCTGTTTGTTAGCTAGGTACTGTGGCTCCTGTAAGATAAACCATAGACACTAATGTAACCAGTGTCTGGAATCCTGGTCTGTTTGTTAGCTGTGGTACTGTGGCTCCTGTAAGATAAATCATAGAAACTAATGTAACCAGTATCTGGAATCCTGGTCTGTTTGTTAGCTGTGGTACTGTGGCTCCTGTAAGATAAACCATAGACACTAATGTAACCAGTGTCTGGAATCCTGGTCTGTTTGTTAGCTGTGGTACTGTGGCTCCTGTAAGATAAACCATAGAAACTAATGTAACCAGTGTCTGGAATCCTGGTCTGTTTGTTAGCTGTGGTACTGTGGCTCCTGTAAGATAAACCATAGAAACTAATGTAACCAGTGTCTGGAATCCTGGTCTGTTTGTTAGCTGTGGTACTGTGGCTCCTGTAAGATAAACCATAGAAACTAATGTAACCAGTGTCTGGAATCCTGGTCTGTTTGTTAGCTAGGTACTGTGGCTCCTGTAAGATAAACCATAGAGACTAATGTAACCAGTATCTGGAATCCTGGTCTGTTTGTTAGCTAGGTACTGTGGCTCCTGTAAGATAAACCATAGAAACTAATGTAACCAGTGACTGGAATCCTGGTCTGTTTGTTAGTGTCCGTACTGTGGCTCCTGTAAGATAAACCATAGAAACTAATGTAACCAGTGTCTGGAATCCTGGTCTGTTTGTTAGTGTCCGTACTGTGGCTCCTGTAAGATAAACCATAGAAACTAATGTAACCAGTGACTGGAATCCTGGTCTGTTTGTTAGCTGTGGTACTGTGGCTCCTGTAAGATAAACCATAGAGACTAATGTAACCAGTGTCTGGAATCCTGGTCTGTTTGTTAGCTAGGTACTGTGGCTCCTGTAAGATAAACCATAGAGACTAATGTAACCAGTATCTGGAATCCTGGTCTGTTTGTTAGCTAGGTACTGTGGCTCCTGTAAGATAAACCATAGAGACTAATGTAACCAGTGTCTGGAATCCTGATCTGTTTGTTAGCTGTGGTACTGTGTCTCCTGTAAGATAAACCATAGAAACTAATGTAACCAGTGTCTGGATCCTGGTCTGTTTGTTAGCTGTGGTACTGTGGCTCCTGTAAGATAAACCATAGAAACTAATGTAACCAGTGTCTGGAATCCTGGTCTGTTTGTTAGCTGTGGTACTGTGGCTCCTGTAAGATAAACCATAGACACTAATGTAACCAGTGTCTGGAATCCTGGTCTGTTTGTTAGCTGTGGTACTGTGGCTCCTGTAAGATAAACCATAGAAACTAATGTAACCAGTGTCTGGAATCCTGGTCTGTTTGTTAGCTGTGGTACTGTGGCTCCTGTAAGATAAACCATAGACACTAATGTAACCAGTGTCTGGAATCCTGGTCTGTTTGTTAGCTGTGGTACTGTGGCTCCTGTAAGATAAACCATAGACACTAATGTAACCAGTGTCTGGAATCCTGGTCTGTTTGTTAGCTGTGGTACTGTGGCTCCTGTAAGATAAACCATAGACACTAATGTAACCAGTGTCTGGAATCCTGGTCTGTTTGTTAGCTGTGGTACTGTGGCTCCTGTAAGATAAACCATAGACACTAATGTAACCAGTATCTGGAATCCTGGTCTGTTTGTTAGCTGTGGTACTGTGGCTCCTGTAAGATAAACCATAGACACTAATGTAACCAGTGTCTGGAATCCTGGTCTGTTTGTTAGCTGTGGTACTGTGGCTCCTGTAAGATAAACCATAGACACTAATGTAACCAGTGTCTGGAATCCTGGTCTGTTTGTTAGCTGTGGTACTGTGGCTCCTGTAAGATAAACCATAGACACTAATGTAACCAGTGTCTGGAATCCTGGTCTGTTTGTTAGCTGTGGTACTGTGGCTCCTGTAAGATAAACCATAGACACTAATGTAACCAGTGTCTGGAATCCTGGTCTGTTTGTTAGCTGTGGTACTGTGGCTCCTGTAAGATAAACCATAGACACTAATGTAACCAGTATCTGGAATCCTGGTCTGTTTGTTAGCTGTGGTACTGTGGCTCCTGTAAGATAAACCATAGACACTAATGTAACCAGTGTCTGGAATCCTGGTCTGTTTGTTAGCTGTGGTACTGTGGCTCCTGTAAGATAAACCATAGACACTAATGTAACCAGTGTCTGGAATCCTGGTCTGTTTGTTAGCTGTGGTACTGTGGCTCCTGTAAGATAAACCATAGAAACTAATGTAACCAGTGTCTGGAATCCTGGTCTGTTTGTTAGCTGTGGTACTGTGGCTCCTGTAAGATAAACCATAGACACTAATGTAACCAGTGTCTGGAATCCTGGTCTGTTTGTTAGCTGTGGTACTGTGGCTCCTGTAAGATAAACCATAGACACTAATGTAACCAGTGTCTGGAATCCTGGTCTGTTTGTTAGCTGTGGTACTGTGGCTCCTGTAAGATAAACCATAGACACTAATGTAACCAGTGTCTGGAATCCTGGTCTGTTTGTTAGCTGTGGTACTGTGGCTCCTGTAAGATAAACCATAGACACTAATGTAACCAGTGTCTGGAATCCTGGTCTGTTTGTTAGCTAGGTACTGTGGCTCCTGTAAGATAAACCATAGAAACTAATGTAACCAGTGACTGGAATCCTGGTCTGTTTGTTAGCTGTGGTACTGTGACTCCTGTAAGATAAACCATAGAGACTAATGTAACCAGTGTCTGGAATCCTGGTCTGTTTGTTAGCTAGGTACTGTGGCTCCTGTAAGATAAACCATAGAGACTAATGTAACCAGTGTCTGGAATCCTGATCTGTTTGTTAGCTGTGGTACTGTGGCTCCTGTAAGATAAACCATAGAAACTAATGTAACCAGTGTCTGGAATCCTGGTCTGTTTGTTAGCTGTGGTACTGTGGCTCCTGTAAGATAAACCATAGACACTAATGTAACCAGTGTCTGGAATCCTGGTCTGTTTGTTAGCTGTGGTACTGTGGCTCCTGTAAGATAAACCATAGAAACTAATGTAACCAGTGTCTGGAATCCTGGTCTGTTTGTTAGCTGTGGTACTGTGGCTCCTGTAAGATAAACCATAGAGACTAATGTAACCAGTGTCTGGAATCCTGATCTGTTTGTTAGCTGTGGTACTGTGGCTCCTGTAAGATAAACCATAGACACTAATGTAACCAGTGTCTGGAATCCTGGTCTGTTTGTTAGCTGTGGTACTATGGCTCCTGTAAGATAAACCATAGACACTTATGTAACCAGTGTCTGGAATCCTGGTCTGTTTGTTAGCTGTGGTACTGTGGCTCCTGTAAGATAAACCATAGAAACTAATGTAACCAGTGTCTGGAATCCTGGTCTGTTTGTTAGCTGTGGTACTGTGGCTCCTGTAAGATAAACCATAGACACTAATGTAACCAGTGTCTGGAATCCTGGTCTGTTTGTTAGTGTAGGTACTGTGGCTGTTGTAATAAATAATTATATAAAAATATAATAACAGAGTTCCAATATTGTCCACCCCGTTTCAACTATTTAATCTGTCTATGGGCAATAACTAAAAAGAACTTTTTTTATTTTTTCATAAATTTTTTATAAATATCTAAGACAATTTATGAAGGCATGAGAGCAAATGAAATGCAATTTCCAATATAATTAATATTTGTAACAAGAGTGCACACACTGAAATGTCTCGCCTTCTTTACTTATCATTGATATTATGTTGATAGTCCTAAATATAAAGCTTTATTACAACTGTCACATAAACTTATTATTAACCAAGTTAACTAAACATTGACCAATGAACCATGAAAATGAGGTCAAGGTCAGATGAACCATGCTAGGCAGGCATGTACAGCTAACAATTCTTCCATACAACAAATATAGTTGACCTATTGCTTTTAGTTTAAGAAAAACAGACCAAAACACAAAAACTTAACACTGAGCAATGAACCTTGAAAAAGAGGTCAAGGTAAAAAAAAAACTGTGTGACTGACAAATAGATCATAAAATATTTCCATACACCAAATATAGTTGAACTATTGCATATAGTATTAGAAAAAAAGACCAAAACTCAAAAACTTAACTTTGACCACTGAACCATGAAAATGAGGTCAAGGTCAGATGACACCTGCCCGCTAGACATGTACACCTTACAATCATTCCATACACCAACTATAGTAGGCCTATTGCATACAGTATAAGAAAAACAGACCAAAACACAAAAACTTAACTATAACCACTGAACCATGAAAATGAGGTCAAGGTCAGATGACACCTGCCAGTTGGACATGTACACCTTACAGTCCTTCCATACACCGAATATACTAGACCTATTGCTTATAGTATATGAGATATGGACTTGACCACGAAAACTTAACCTTGTTCACTGATCCATGAAATGAGGTCGAGGTCAAGTGAAAACTGTCTGACGGGCATGAGGACCTTGCAAGGTACGCACATACCAAATAGAGTTATCCTATTACTTATAATAAGAGAGAATCTAACATTACAAAAAATCTTAACTTTTTTTTCAAGTAGTCACTGAACCATGAAAATGAGGTCAAGGACATTGGACATGTGAGTGACGGAAACTTCGTAACATGAGGCATCCATATACAAAGTATGAAGCATCCAGACCTTCCACCTTCTAAAATATAAAGCTTTTAAGAAGTTAGCTAACGCCGCCGCAGCCGCCGCCGCCGGATCACTATCCCTATGTCGAGCTTTCTGCGACAAAAGTCCCAGGCTCGACAAAAATTGGCACCGAATTCTAAATTTGTCCAAGACATTGCTTAAATAAGCTAGCTAGCCTATATCAGTATTCACCTCTGAAGCTAACAAAACCATTAAATAGACTTATTAAGAAGGGATATAGTTACGATACTGTTGTCAGGTCATTAAAGATTGCATATTTTGGCGTTAATATTGATTCACTTATAGGGTCTTTGCATCGGCACTAAACACATTTATTTAAAAACCAGTTGTTGGCATGACACGGGTTATGTTTTCTCATATATGTTATGATGGTATGATACTTAACCCCTAACGGGAAGGATTGTGCCTGATATTCATATGATGAAGACATAATCTTTCAATCAGTTAAATTGAAGTCTGGAGCTGGCATGTCAGTTAACTGCTAGTAGTTTGTTGTTATTTATGTATTATTGTCATTTTGTTTATTTTCTTTGGTTACATCTTCTGACATCAGACTCTGACTTCTCTTGAACTGAATTTTAATGTGCGTATTGTTATGCGTTTACCTTTCTACATTGGCTAGAGGTATAGGGGGAGGGTTGAGATCTCATAAACATGCATGTTTAACCCCGCCGCATTTTTGCGCCTGTCCCAAGTCAGGAGCCTCTAGCCTTTGTTAGTCTTGTATTATTTTTAATTTTAGTTTCTTGTGTACAATTTGGAGTTTAGTATGGCGTTCATTATCACTGAACTAGTATATATATTTGTTTAGGGGCCAGCTGAAGGACGCCTCCGGGTGCGGGAATTTCTCGCTGCTTTGAAGACCTGTTGGTGACCTTCTGCTGTTTTCTGTTCTATGGTCGGGTTGTTGTCTCTTTGACACATTCCCCATTTCCATTCTCAATTTTATCTATGATATAAATTTGATAAAAATCTGGCAAAATTTGTACACATGAGGGGAGTTACAATACAACTTTTCATATAATAAATATTTCAAAGGGGCAAAACTCTTTTAAAAATAATTGAGATTTCAGGAAATGCTGTATACATATAGAATAACCATACATTGTCTAGAAATATAGATTTTATTTGTACAAGGCTTAGAAACAGGTAGAAAGTGAGGCTGTGCCGAGCATTTCTACCTGTTTTGAGCCGAATACAAATAAAATCTATATTTCGAGACAATGTATGGTTATTCTTTATATACTGCAACTCCCATAACTGTTCCAAATGAAATATTTAGGGCAAAAAACACCTTTTTTTTTAATTTGGAGCTGACGAGGTAAAATTTCTATGAACCTGTATGTTTTATTGGCATCATAAATAAAAATCTATGGAAACGCATTGTCAACGTCATAAACAAGGCGATATATGGTCAGTTACTGTATATCACAAATAAATATACAGTCAATGCAATTTGACTGCGCAAATAGCACAGCTGCAGTACTAGTATATAAATAGGTAATTATTAATGCCAGTTTATAATGTTGTGAAATGCATCTAGTAATAATTTTCACAACATTACAAACATCGCAAAAATCTCTGAATCTCACAAAAAATGATATGTTGTTTTCTAATGAATTAGTAGAGCAATATCTGTATTTGATTATTGACTACATGAACACTGCATATGGAATTTGATTTTATATAGATCATTCAACTTTTCCAAATGTAAGAAATGCTATTTTCCTGCAAAATATGAGGCAGCAATGAGGAAATAAATTTGCTGCAAATTTTAGTAAGAGTTTTCTTTAAAACAAGCATGGTGATACATTGTCAGAGATTGTTATAGTACAACTTTGTTGTAGGCTTATAAGTTATCCAACAGTAAAGGTGAAAACATGTAACATAACGATCAATATACCAATTCTGCCATTTTTTTTAAGAATACACTTTTAAAATACCTTAAATGCAAGATTTCAATCAACATACTAATAATTTCGAATTACAAATAAACATATCACAAATTTACAAAATTACAAATTACAAATTATGAAGTACATATCACAAATATACCATTCAGTAAGTATGGAAAATCAAAATTACTCTTTTGAGCCAAACCCATCTTGACATGCATGTACACCGGTAATATTTTTTAACACTCCTGGTAAAACTTCAATTGTTGACCAAGCAGAAAGTTTACCTTCTTAAATCTGACTATCTTAAACCTGATCAATGTTATATGTGAATTTCTTACTATTCTCTTGGGAGTTTTAGATGATTTTATTTTTATTATGCTTGCAGTTGTGCATTCAATGTACACATTGTAAATTCATAAATAGTTCATAAAATAACTAAACCTGTTTGAACAAGGTTAAATTCATCTTGGCTAACATCAGTTGATTCTAAGTCAGATGCCAGTTCTGCATTGCCAGGGTCCACCTTGAGTGCCTCCAGAAAGAACTGATAATCTTGTACACTTCTGATCTTAGCTATTAGCTTTCTATTCATTTCACCTGACACTTCACTGGAAACAATTTCTGCATGGTCGTCAGGTTCTAAAACTCCCTTTGATATCAATAAATCAATGACCTGTCTTACATTAGATAAATTCTGAATAAGATGGTGGTAGTTCTTTTGTAACCTGATTGAATGGTTCCCTGTAACTATAAATGTATGAACACTATTTTAAAAGGTATAGGTCATCATTATTATTTTTCAGAAATATGAGGTAATAAATTGCTTCGCCGGGCTCAGCTGGATACGACCGCAGAGGTCCAACCCTGAACAGTTGGGGCAAAAATGGACAAAATATTGCGCTTGATACAGGTCTGAATTTGGATTGTAATTAAATATTTGACACATAATAGGTTTCTGACACAGAATAACTGTAGTCAAAGAACTTAGAATTGGTTATATGATTTGAATTTATATTAAATTTTTTGCTTTTGTGCAATACACTGTGACTGTGCGAATTGACATCCCCCCCCCCCCCCCCCCCCCCCCCCCCCCTATAAATGTATGAACACTATTTTAAAAGGTATAGGTCATCATTATTAATTCACGTTAACTAGTTCTCATCGCAAACATCTAGGTGATCTAGAAATAAAAACATCCCTAGGATGTCCGATCACCCTACCTGTGTTACACACCCCAATACAGGTAAATATACAGGTATTCTAATCAGTTTTGATTTTTGTCGTGTTCCTTCAATATACACATATCTAGAAATTCATCTAGGGGATGGTGGTGGCCCCTTCACTGGTAGGTATAACTCTATTATTAAAAATCTCAACTTGGGAACAAATTGTTCCATTTTTAATAATATTCATTATACCTACCAGTGAAAAATGACATTTATTTAATTAGAATATACTCACTGATTTAAAAGCAGTGTTGAATTCATTCAACGGTGGAGGATGAATTTCCTTCTCTTCAAGAAAAACTCCACAAACAAAATTTCTATCGAACAGGATAAAATACTATCACCATAACAAAAAACCCACTATTTACATCTATATACAGCTACATGTTATACTGCAATAAACAAACAAAGTACCATACAAATAAATGAATTTGTATGCTTACATCCTATTCTAAAACTTTAGTAGCATCAAAATCTCGCAAATAAAACTTTGCGAAAGTTGATTCAACTGCCCAGTCGGCAGAATCTAAAATTGATTTCAAAGAAGCCCCTTTGTACAAAGCCCAACTTGGAGCTATAGCACGTGTTGAATGTGCATTTACTTTCATATTGTCATCATCATAAGCTATTCTAATAGCCTGAACAATCCAACTTGAAATACACTGTGACTGTGCGAATTGACATCCCCCCCCCCCCCCCCCCCCCCCCCCAAAATATAAATAAAAATTAACCCCCTTTTTTTTTGCGTTTGTGCAATACACTATGCTGTTGCGTATTGAACACCCCAACCCCCCCAATAAAAATCCCCAAATATGTGAAGAAATTTTGTTTAATTTCTGAAATCTGAAATGAGAAAAAATTGCACAATTGTACAATTTTGTTTTGGGATTACCTCCCTTACACTGCTTTTAAATTGTCCATTCACCAGGAAACCTTGTTTTTTCCCCTTTTTTCCCCCTTATTCCTAAACGGTTTGAGCCATAACCCCCCAAAGCCAATCCTAAACATCCCTTTGTGGTATGGTATAATTTCAGAGAGATCCATACACTTAAACACAAGTTATTGTCTGGAAACTAGAAAAATAACTTTTTGGGCCTCTTTTTTGGCCCCTAATTCCTAAACTGTTAGGACCCTAACCCCAAAAATCAATCCCAACCTTCCTTTTGTGGTTATAAACCTTGTGTTTAAATTTCATAGATTTCTATTAACTTATACTAAAGTTATTGTCTGGAAACCAACTGTCTTCGGACGACGACGACGATGACGACGACATGATACCAATATACGACCAGACGATGCCCCCACTTGTATACAACATTATAAAGGGACATAACTCAAGAACAATAAAAGTCACGCTACCCAAATTTGTACCTGATCTGAGTTTTGTGGTAATAAGTATTGTGTATAGGTTTCATAATGTTTGGTTGGGGCAAACTTAAGTTACAGAATGGAAACTAAGAATTTTACAATTTTTTGATTTATAAAGGGGCATAACTCTATAATGATTAAAGTGACGCCACCAAAATTCAACTTGATCTGTGTTTTGTGGTAAAAAGCATTGTGTATAAGTTTCATAACATTTGGTTGAGGCAACTTAAGTTAGAGAACTGAAACTGAAAATTTGCATTTTTTTTCCATTTATAAAGGGGCATAACGCAAGAATGGTTAAAGTGACCCCAAAAAAATTCAAACTTGATCTTTATTTTGTGGTAATAAGCGTTGTGTATAAGTTTTATAACATTTGGTTGAGGCAAACTTAAGTTAGAGAACGGAAACTAAAAATTTTGCAATTTTTCCATTTATAAAGGGGCATAACTCAAGAACGGTAAGTGACACTACCAAAAATTCAAACTTGATCTGTATTTTGTGGTAATAAGCATTGTGTATAAGTTTCATAATATTTGGTTGAGACAAACTTAAGTTAAAGAACGGAAACTAAAAATTTTGCAATTTTTCCATTTATAAAGGGGCATTACTCTAGAACGGTTAAAGTGACACCACTAAAATTCAAACTTGATCTGTGTTTTGTGGTAATAAGCATTGTGTATAAGTTTCATAACATTTGGTTGAGGCAAACTTAAGTTAGAGAAAGGAAACTAAAAATTTTGTAATTTTTCCATTTATAAAGGGGCAAAACTCTAGAACAGTTAGAGTGACGCAACCAAAATTCAAACTTGATCTGTATTTTGTGGTTATAAGCATTGTGTATAAGTTTCATAACATTTGGTTGAGGCAAACTCAAGTAAGAGAACGGAAACATATTTTGTGACGTACGGACGTACGTACAGACTGACAAGGGTAAAACTTAATGCCCCCTCCACTACGGCGGGGGCATAAAAAACTTATGTAAAATATATTTGTAGAAATCATTCTTTGAAATACATATGGCTTCAACTTATTATTATTTTTAGTTAAGCATATTTTCATAGTAGGTTACTTTTGAGTTTGCTTTCAGTAACTGTAAGCATTCTTTGATATGGTATAAATTCATTTAAGATTTGTTACTAGAACTGGTGTTTTCATTATCTTTATACTGTAATTTAAGAGTAAAAGTGCTTTTCCTGTACTAATCTTTTTTGAGTGTTTCTTCAATGTACCTAGTGTTAATCCAATATTCTGAATAAAAAAGTGGGGATCGATTTTTTTTTTAGTGTTGTCTCATTAGTATTAATAAAACACTGCCTTTAATTCCTACAAATAATCAAAATGTAAAGTAAGTACTCACTACTTGACTTAACTATGGAGTGTGAAACAACTTCATGATGGGAAGGTTGACCTTCCATACATTCTATCAGGTCTTTAGAACAAGTAGGAGACTCCTTTAGAACGTCTAATAATACACTGTAGGAATCTTGTGGTCTTTGAATTAGGAGGTCTAAGATACATTTGTTGCGGTCAGATTGTCTGGGATAGTGTTCTATCTCCTCTCTGTCTTCTATCCGTAGGATACATTTAGAAATCAGTTTATCAAGGACGTCTTTATCCAGAGAGGTGTCTTGTACAATCTTATCATAGAAGTGGTACAATCTGTAGTGAACTGGAAAAGAAACAAAACATATGGTTACCATGGTGATTTAGCTACATATGTATGATAATTTTGTACACTATGGTGTCCTGTATAATAATATCATAGAAATGAAACTCTTTTTAGCAGACCAAAAAATATACTAGTTGCTATCTTTAAGAAAAGGAAAGCAATAGTGAACCTGATTGGCATTTTGGTTTTACAAGTTCAGAAAACAAATATACATGTGAATGTATGTTTTTACTTCATTCATTATATGAGAAGAAAACTTATCATTCTGGGGCAATTGAAATCACCTCTGGTTTTTGGTTGGGTTCATGTTGCTCTGTATTTAGTTTTCTATTGTGTTTTGTGTACTGCTGTACTGTTTTAGTTGTTTTTATTGTTTTTTGCCACGGCATGGTCAGTTTGATTTCACCTTATGAGTTTGAATATTCCTTTGTAATCTGTTGTCTCTCTTTTTCTCTGACATGGACCTTATTTAGGTTTCAAATTTGGATAAAATATCCCATCAAAGCAGCATTTGTGAGGTAGATGTTGTTGAATTTTCTATTACATTGTACTAATCGAATATTTGTTGGTTAAAGCAATTCAACATGGCGACTCACTCCTTAGTTACGACATGTTAACAGTGAATTTGACGGTGAATTATAGAAAATGAAACTAGAGGCTCTAAAGAGCCTGTGTAGCTCATTTTGATCTATATATGCATATTCAACAAATAACATACTCCAACATTGTAGACAAGAATAGAATTCATTACAAATAACATAAACGGTACCAATTTTTCTGCACCAGATGTAAAAATCTCTGTTTTGTTAATCTTGTAATGCTGATCATTTAATCTGTTTAGTTTCCCTCTATTTTCTTTAGTTTTTGCTCAAAACACAAAAGAGGGTTTAAAAAAATCCTCAATCAAGGGTCTACTAACTGTATCGGCACAATTTGACTTCCTAGTATATCTTGTCTTGCTGTTCATTTTTGCTTATTTAAATTTCTATCTATCTATAATAATTTTTATTATATAAGGCAAAACAGGTAAAAATTAAAGGGCATTAACTCCAATAAGTAGTCATCAGACAATTTCCACCATATTTGTCTTAATTGTAGATTATGTCTAGCTGACCATTTTTGCCTTTTGAAGTTTCTATCTATTTATTATACTTTTAGAGATCAAAGGCAAAAAACGCAAAAATTGATAAAAATCGTCATCAAAGGGCAATAACTCTAATAAGGAGTCGACTGACAATTTTGATCATGGAACTTATTTGTAGAACTGGTCTTGCTGATCATTTTTGCAATTCAAAGTTTCTCTGTTATAGTTTTCAAGATAATAGGCAAACATGAAAAAAAATGATAAAATTTGTCATTTAAGGGCAATAACTCATCAAAGGACAATTGGTAGAGCCCAACATTTTGAACATTTTTGCCCTTGTCAGATTTTCTCTATTCATAATGATTTTCAAAATAATAGACAAAACTTGGATTTTACCCCTATGTTCTATTTTAAGCCATGTCAGCCATCTTGGTTGGCAGGGGAGTCATCGGACATATTTTTTAAACTAGATTCCTAAAAGAGATTGTGGCCAAGTTTGGTTAAATTTGGCCCAATAGTTTCAGAGAAGATTTTTTGTAAGTTAACAGCCGTTGACAGACATCCAGTGATGAGAAAAGCTCACTTGGCCCTTTCTACGGCCTCGGTGGCCGAGTTGTCTAAGTAGTCGAACTACTGTATCACTAGCCTGAGGTTGTGAGTTCAAATCCCACACAGGGCAGGTGCACTCAAATCCAATCTTAATTGACTAGGATTGTCAGTTTTCCTACAGAAGGTTGGTAGTTCCTTTTTTTTTAATGATTTGCAAATTTTGATTTAGTTTAACAGTGTTGGCTTTCTATTTAACTGTTGTTTAACTAATGTATTCCCAACTATTGCCATTTTTTTCTGTTCTTTATGTTTTTATTTGTTATCTTATAACAGAATGGGTCTGTGCTAGATAAATAATGTATACCTATTAATTGGCTGAGCATATCCCATTCCTCTGTTCTGATTTTGTCCTTCAGCTGATCTTCATAATCACGAATAGCTTGGACAAAACCACCTTGGTACTCTCTGTCTATGACGTGTTCAATAGACCTAGGTACAGTGTAAAGGACAGTATAGGCTGCCTGTAATCGGTTGTTGTCTGTTGGTAATCTGTAAAAATAGAATACAGTAACTTTTTACATAAAGAAGAAGGTGTGCTACAGGCCTTTTTGAATTGTAACAAAAATAAATTGGGAATGTGTCCATGGGACACAGATGATGCCCTCGCTTGCATATAACTTTATAAAGAGCATAACTCAAGAACGGTAAAAGTGACACTTCCCAAATTTGTACTTGATTTGAGTTTTGTGTTTATAAGCATTGTATATAAGTTTCATAATATTTGGTTGAGGCAAACTTTAAGTAAGAGAACAAAAACAAAAAATTCAGCAATTTTTTCCATTTGTCAAAGGGCATAACTCTAGAAAGATAAAAGAGACGCCACCAAATTTTCAAACTTGATTTGTGTTTTGTGTTAATAAGCATTGTGTATAAGTTTAATAACATTTGGTTAAGGCAAACTTAAGTTAGAAAATGGAGAGAAAAAAAATCAGCAATTTTTCTATTTGTAAAGGGGCATAACTGTAGAACAAAAGTGACGCCACCTAAATTCAAACTTGATTTGTGATTTATGGTAATAAGCATTGCGTATAAGTTTCATAACATAAGGTTTAGGCAAACTAAAGTTAAGAGAATGGAAACCAATTTCGGGACTTACGTATGGATGGACTACAGACGGACAAAGGTAAAACTTAATGCCACTTTTGCTACGGAGGGGGCATAACAATATGAAATTCAGATTATATATGTACTATATAAAAATAAGGAGACGTGGAATGATTGCCAATAAGATGACTTATCCACCAAAGTTCAAATGAATTCAATGTTTATGAATCAGGATAAAATATAATTTATCGGTAGGAGTAATAGAGAGGAGGAGGGTCAATAACCCCTCGAGATACGAGATGTGCCAATGCTCAATGCTTACACAATTCATACCAAATATCATTGATTTATCATTAGGGAATCTCTCATATAGGCCTTAAACGGACATATTCACACACTTATTATTTTACACTGCAGTAAACAGCATGCCTAAATTTCGCCTCCACCAACTTTATTTGAACAAGACAAAAAATGCTTTTCAAAGGTGTCTAATTTTGTTGTTTCATCATTTATTCCAAGCAAAGACACTTCAAACATGTATTTTGTCTAGTTTTTAAATTTGTGCTTTCCTTCTACTGGTACTCACAAAATCTCTAACAATTTGTATCCCATGAATATTAATGAATCCACATTACAATAAAATGCTCCGCTGGGGCACAGCTTGATACGACCGCAGAGGTCGAACCCTGAACAGTTGGGGCAAGTATGGACACAACATTCAAGCTTGATACAGCACTGAATTTGGATTGTAATTAAATATTTGACACAGCATAGGTTTCTGACACAGAATGAATGTGGTCTAAGAACTTAAAATTTTTTAATTTACCTATTCAAACCATATCATTATTATTTGCGTTTATATATAAATCAGAAATAACCAATTTAAAATTAAAAATTTTAAAGAAAAAAAAAGGAAAAAAAAATTCCCCCCCCCCAAATTTTTTGAACCCCCTTATGATTCATCACCCCCAAACTCAATCCCAGCCTCCCCTTTGTGGTATGGTACCTTGCAGTACAATTTCAAAGAGATCCATACACTTGAACACAAGTTATTGTCTGGAAACTAGAAAAATGCTTGTTTTTTGGCCCCTTTTTGGCCCCAAATTCCTAAACGTTTCGGGCAATTGCCCCCAAACTCAAACCCATCTTTCCCTTTGTGATATGGAACCTTGTAGTACAATTTCATAAAGATCAATACACTTACACACAAGTTATTGTCCTGAAACAAGAAAAATGCTTGTTTTTTTGCCCCTTTATGGCCCCTAATTCCTAAAATTTGGAGGCAATTACCCCCAAAATCAATCGCAGCCTTCCCTTTGTGGTATAGTACCTTGCAGTGCAATTTCAGAGAGATCCATACACTTGAACACAAGTTATTGTCTGGAAACTAGAAAAATGCTTATTTTTGGCCCCTTTTTGGCCCCTTATTCCTAAACGTTTTGGGCAATTACCCCCAAACTCAATTCCAGCTTTCCCTTTGTGATATGGAACCTTGTAGTACAATTTCATAAAGATCCATACACTTGCACACAAGTTATTGTCATGAAACTAGAAAAATGCTTGTTTTTTGCCCCCTTTTTGGCCCCTAATTCCTAAAATTTGGAGGCATTTACCCCCAAAATCAATCCCAGCAATTCCCTTTGTGATATGGAACCTTGTGGTACAATGTCAGAGAGATCCATACACTAACACACAAGTTATGTCTGGAAGTTACAATAAAATGCTTCGCTGGGGTGCAGCTTGATACGACCGCAGAGGTCGAACCCTGAACAGTTGGGGCAAGTATGGACACAACATTCAAGCTTGATACAGCTCTGAATTTGGATTGTTATTAAATATTTGACACAGCATAGGTTTCTGACACAGAAAGAATGTGGTCTAAGAACTTGAATTTTTTTAATTTACCTATTATGGTCCAATGTCCAAAATCAAAATACATGGTTAGATTCAGCATATCAAAGAACCCCATATATTCAATTTTTGTTAAAATCAAACAAAGTTTAATTTTGGACCCCAACTTGGACAAACTTGTAAACTGGGCCCATAATCCAAAATCTAAATACATGTTTAGATTCAGCATATCAAAGAACCCCAAGAATTCAATTTTTGCTAAAATCAAACTAAGTTTAATTTTGGACCCTTTGGACCTTTATGTAGACCAATTTAAAAAACGGGACTTAAAATTAAAAATCTAAATACACGGTTAGATTTGGAATATCAAAGAACCCCAATAATTCAATTTTTGATGAAATCAAACAAAGTTTAATTTTGGACCCTTTTGACCTCAATATGAACCAATTTGATAGCGGGGCCAAAATTAAAAAATCTAAATTCATGGTTAGATTCAGCATATCAAAGAACCCCATATATTCAATTTTTGTTGAAATCAAAAAAAGTTTAATTTTGGACCCCAACTTGGACCAACTTGAAAACTGGACCCATAATCAAAAATCTAAACACATGTTTAGATTCAGCATATCAAAGAACCCCAAGAATTAAATTTTTGTTAAAATCAAACTAAGTTTAATTTTGGACCCTTTGGACCTCAATGAAGACCAATTTAAAAAACGGGACCCAAATTAAAAATCTAAATACACGGTTAGATTTGGCATATCAAAGAACCCCAATAATTCAATTTTTGATGAAATCAAACAAAGTTTAATTTTGGACCCTTTTGACCTCAATATGAACCAATTTGATAACGGGGCCTACAAATAAAAAATCTAAATACATGGTTAGATTCTGCATATCAAAGAACCTCATATATTCAATTTTTGTTGAAATCAAACAAAGTTTAATTTTGGACCCCAATTTGGACCAACTTGAAAACTGGGCCCATAATCAAAAATCTAAATACATGTTTAGATTCAGCATATCAAAGAACCCCAAGAATTCAATTTTTGTTAAAATCAAACTAAGTTTAATTTTGGACCCTTTGGACCTTAATGTAGACCAATTTAAAAAACAGGACCCAAAATTAAAAATCTAAATACACGGTTAGATTTGGAATATCAAAGAGCCCCAATAATTCAATTTTAGATGAAATCAAACAAAGTTTAATTTTTGACCCTTTTGACCTCAATATGAACCAATTTGATAACGGGGTCCACAAATAAAAAATCTAAATACATGGTTAGATTCAGCATATCAAAGAACCCCATATATTCAATTTTTGTTGAAATCAAAAAAAGTTTAATTTTGGACCCCAACTTGGACCAACTTGAAAACTGGACCCATAATCAAAAATCTAAACACATGTTTAGATTCAGCATATCAAAGAACCCCAAGAATTCAATTTTTGCTAAAATCAAACTAAGTTTAATTTTGGACCCTTTGGACCTTTATGTAGACCAATTTAAAAAACGGGACTTAAAATTAAAAATCTAAATACACGGTTAGATTTGGAATATCAAAGAACCCCAATAATTCAATTTTTGATGAAATCAAACAAAGTTTAATTTTGGACCCTTTTGACCTCAATATGAACCAATTTGATAGCGGGGCCAAAATTAAAAAATCTAAATTCATGGTTAGATTCAGCATATCAAAGAACCCCATATATTCAATTTTTGTTGAAATCAAAAAAAGTTTAATTTTGGACCCCAACTTGGACCAACTTGAAAACTGGACCCATAATCAAAAATCTAAACACATGTTTAGATTCAGCATATCAAAGAACCCCAAGAATTCAATTTTTGTTAAAATCAAACTAAGTTTAATTTTGGACCCTTTGGACCTCAATGAAGACCAATTTAAAAAACGGGACCCAAATTAAAAATCTAAATACACGGTTAGATTTGGCATATCAAAGAACCCCAATAATTCAATTTTTGATGAAATCAAACAAAGTTTAATTTTGGACCCTTTTGACCTCAATATGAACCAATTTGATAACGGGGCCTACAAATAAAAAATCTAAATACATGGTTAGATTCTGCATATCAAAGAACCTCATATATTCAATTTTTGTTGAAATCAAACAAAGTTTAATTTTGGACCCCAATTTGGACCAACTTGAAAACTGGGCCCATAATCAAAAATCTAAATACATGTTTAGATTCAGCATATCAAAGAACCCCAAGAATTCAATTTTTGTTAAAATCAAACTAAGTTTAATTTTGGACCCTTTGGACCTTAATGTAGACCAATTTAAAAAACAGGACCCAAAATTAAAAATCTAAATACACGGTTAGATTTGGAATATCAAAGAGCCCCAATAATTCAATTTTAGATGAAATCAAACAAAGTTTAATTTTTGACCCTTTTGACCTCAATATGAACCAATTTGATAACGGGGTCCACAAATAAAAAATCTAAATACATGGTTAGATTCAGCATATCAAAGAACCCCATATATTCAATTTTTGTTGAAATCAAACAAAGTTTAATTTTGGACCCCAATTTGGACCAACTTGAAAACTGGGCCAAAAAAATCAAAAATCTAAATACATGTTTAGATTCAGCATATCAAAATACCTCATATATTCAATTTTTGATAAAATCAAACAAAGTTTAATTTTGGACCCTTTGGACCTTAATGTAGACTATTTTGAAAACTGGACCTAAAATTAAAAATCTAAATACACTGTTAGATTCAGCATAACAAATAAATAAATGTGATCAAAGATTTTACAAATCTAATGCGCCATACTGTGCAATTAAAGATTACTTCTTGAAATTTTTCAATATTTGAAATTTGAAAAAAAAATAATATTTGAAGAATAATTCTTTTTAATTTCTGAAATCTGAAATGAGAAAAAATTGACCCCCTAACAATTTCTTTTTATCCCCCCCCCCCCCCCCCCCCCCTTTTTTCCCCCAAAAAATTCTTTCCCTCAAGATATGGTCATAATCTCGATTCAAATTTCCAATGGAGTTGGCAACCATAATTACCCATTTAAATTTACCATAGTGCTAACTTAATCTATTTTATAATAGAATTAAAAATATAGTGTCAAATCTTTCATATGGATTTTTTTGTAAAAAAAAATGATGCAACATCTGCAGATATTTTTACTGGTCTTCCTTTATAAATATGCATTTCTTTAAACATAATTTAAAAGCAGTGTAAGGGAAGTAACCAAAACGTTGTATTTGGATTACCTCCCTTACACTGTTTTAAATTATCTTTATTGTTCATTAACCATTACTTTATACATAATTTAAAAGCAGTGTAAGGGAGATAATTTCAATGATGTATTTGATTTATCTCCCTTACACTGCTTTAAATTATGTTTTGTACTAAAATATTTGTCCATTAACCAGGACAACCTTGTTTTTCCCCCTTTTTTGCCCCTAATTCCTAAACGGTTTGAGCCATAACCCCCCCAAAGCAAATCCTAACCATCCCTTTGTGGTATGGAAACTTGTAGTATAATTTCAGAGAGATCCATACACCGTTCCACAGTTATTGTCTGGAAACTAGAAAATGCTTATTTTTGGCCCCTTTTTGGCCCCTAATTCCTTAACTGTTGGTACCATAACCCCCAAAATCAATCCCAACCTTCCTTTTGTGGTATTTAACCTTATGGTAAAATTTCAAAAAGATCCATTCACTTAAACTAAAGTTAGAGTGCGAAAACCAATGTGTCTTCGGACGACGACGCCGGACGACGACGGCGACGACGACGACGCCAACGTCATAACAATATACGACCACAAAATTTTTTTTGCGGTCGTATAAAAATGCTTATTTTTGGCCCCTTTTTGGCCCCTAATTCCTTAACTGTTGGTATCATAACCCCCAAAATGTGTCTTCGGACGACGACGATTTTTTTTTGCGGTCGTATAATAATGCTGTAATAGATAACTTAATTTGGATATCACATACACTAAATTTTCTGATTGATGATTGCATTGCATTACATCCAGTGGCAAATATTACTTGCATATTCAGAATGAGACCTTCGAAGAGTTGTTGCACCGGTTCTTAAATGTACAGGAAACACGTCACTCTCCGAAGGCCTTAATGTCAAGAATCAGAAATGTATCAGGTTTTGTACACTTTGATATCGTAAATTATCTCAACTCTGGTAAATTAATGATCATTGTGATGGGTTAAATGTTGTCACTTGGTGACCCCCTATGGATGCGTAGGCAGTCAATAAATTTCATAGCGGTATCATGACGTCACATCCACTATTAATGGTGACGTCATCTACATGTATTAATGTTGTTGTATTTTATCGTTTTTGTTTTATACAAAACTTGGCAGAAAGTCTTGTGTATGATAAATTCATTATACGGTTCACTATGGGCCACCTGCGAATCCATAGAGGGTTAGTATAATCCATAGGGGATTTGACCTTTGCCATCACCCCCTATGGATTTTTTAAACCCTCTATGGATCCGCAAGGGGTTATTAGCAAACCATATAATATTAGATACACAGTGTGCTAAATTCTAGCACACTGTGTAACAAATTTATCTTATTGACTATTTAATATGGGATATTAGGATGCAGTTGTAAACCTTGATATCACAATTCTAACTCATTTATATGCAGAACATTCAATTATTTAAAGTGAGAAAATCAGCATATTCATGACATGTTTTGATGTCTAAAAGCATTAAAATATTATAAATATGTCTGTTAACAATGTATGTTACTTTGAGAACAACACAGTTTTTTTTAAGGAAAAAAAGAAAGCCATGTACACATGTTTTATAGTCAAACTTAACCATTCAAGTGCAAAAAACATATTCAACTTTTTTTTTTAATTTAAAGTATCATATTACTTTAATGAATATATTGATTATGTACGGCTGTTAACTTACGGCTGTGCTTCCATTGTTGAAGAATGTGTCTTTCTTCTTTGAGCTTTTCCTTAAAAAAATAAAGTTATACATTACATTTAGGTCTACATAATAACTTTAGCAACAAAGTTAACTCAAGAAGAAAGCAATTATATCTAAAAAGTCCTTTTATGATCAATTCACAAGTACCATCACATGCCTTTAAAAAAATTAAACCACTACAAAATTTAAGCTTGAAATCAGGACCACCACTACATCTAAAATTGGTGGACCTACCTGACTTTTGGTGGTCTGGACCACCACTACATCTAAAATTGGTGGACCTACCTGACTTTTGGTGGTCTGGACCACCACTACATCTAAAATTGGTGGACCTACCTGACGTTTGGTGGTCTGGACCACCACTACATCTAAAATTGGTGGACCTACCCGTGACTTTTGGTGGTCTGGACCACCACTACATCTAAAATTGGTGGACCTACCTGACTTTTGGTGGTCTGGACCACCACTACATCTAAAATTGGTGCCTTTTTTTTTAAAGTTTATAATTCTGACTTTTTTTTTACCTAAATTGTCATCCTGACTTTTTTTTTTTGCAAGTGTCTCATCCTGCCTTTTTTTTTTACTCAAAACTCCTGTCCTGCCAATTTCTTTCAAATTTCATCCTAGCCCCCCATTAAAATCAAATGGTAGCTCCCTTAACAGATGTATTGATATTTATTTGCCTTAGGTCAATTTCTATCTGATTCTGAACCCAAGTCAAATTGAACTGCTATTATTAGCTCGCTGTTATTTACCAGTCCTTCATAATTTTAGCAGTCTTTCAGCTGTTCTGAGCAGTCCATCTAACAGCAGTTTGAAAAACTGCCTTGTTTCACCATTTCTTAGCATTCCCCCCTAGCAGTTTGGATACCTTAAGGATAATGTATCCTTGTGTTGATTCAATGCTAAACATAAGGAAATTTTATAGAAAATCCACAGCCTTTCCCCTTGTACTCTCATATTTGACAATTCAGTGCTTGATAGATAGAAGATTATTGCATGCAGTGCTAGTAATAATTTCCTTAAAACAAGTTTATAAATTTAGATATTGGTTAAAACAAATATAAATATGGACCAATTCAAGTACACCTTCTAGGGTGCACTAGACTTTAGTGACTCAGCATGAGGTTTTTTGAAAATTTAAAGGTTGTTTTGGACTTTTTGTAAACAATAAACGCTAGCACATCATAGAAAAACAAGTGAGTAATCTATGTTTAAAATTTTATAACAAAAATCTCTGTGGATTTTCTTCAAAAATCTTGGTTTTATTTGCCACAAAATCCCCTTTCTATTAAATACAGTTAAACAATAAATAATAATGCATTGCACAAAGTTTCCCCTTGGTATATGTACAAAATGGCTCATCTCTATTATTCATTATCTTTGCTGTTTTGATAGTCTATTGCAGTTTGAAAATTCGTAATTCACATGGCTACAGAATGGGTCATAAACCTTAAAACTGCTATTAATTTGTCAATTGGACAGCATTTATGATAGCATTTCGATAGCAGTTTTGGTTTTAATCTTTGTTATAAAAATGCTTGGATCTGGCTGTGTTTTCAGCTTGATAAGTAAACCTTATTTGAAGATTATCTGATCATTTTCACATGTGCATTTGGGCTCCAAGCTGTGGTAAATACTTGCTGGTGAAAAACTGTATTTATGTCAATCATAAAAGTTTAATTTAGGCTAAATGGAATACTTTCATACACCTGCAGTACAGTAAGTTGAAGTTACAGTTAATGCATGTGTATTTTCTCACATAATATTGAAGGGGAAAACAGAAATCATACAGACAGCCAAAAAAAGGAGGATAGTTGCTTATTCGCATAGAATATCTGATGTGTACAGGATTGTTTTAAATACTAGCTATACTTACATTGCAAGATGTTATTTGAAAATAGAAATAAGAATATTTTAATATAATTTTGTATAAAAAAAAACAAAAAAAATCATATTCAAGAGTTGAAAAAGGGGGGAGGGAATATTAAGGAAACATAGACTGCAAATAGCTGATTGTTTAATATTGACCAAAAAATTCATTTAATTTTTATTTATTAAGCACAAATTACACCCATAAGAGAAGGCATAACAATTACATGTAATAACAACAATATAATGATGACATTTACACTTACATAAAAATAAAACAAAACAAAACAAAACATTAAACACATTACACAACAAAACAAAACAAAACATTAAACACATTACACAACAAAACAAAACAAAACATTAAACACATTACACAACAAAACAAAACAAAACATTAAACACATTACACAACAAAACAAAACAAAACATTAAACACATTACACAACAAAACATTAAACACATTACACAACAAAACAAAACAAAACATTAAACACATTACACAACAAAACATTAAACACATTACACAACAAAACAAAACAAAACATTAAACACATTACACAACAAAACATTAAACACATTACACAACAAAACAAAACAAAACATTAAACACATTACACAACAAATGACAAACCAATGAATCAAATAAATGAAGAGATAAATTTGCAGGTAATTCATTCAGACCACTTGTATAGCTTTTGATAGAGTACATAACTTTAAGAGCTTTTTTGGAAAGTGCTTCAGTAGATGACAATAAGTTTCCATTTCGTGAGAGCAAGTTGCCTAAGACCTTAAATTCATTTACTGATTCTAAAACAGTGTGCTTGTAATTCAATTTTATATTTTGCGTTATTTTATGATGATAACCAATAACCATAGTCTTAGTCTTTTCACAATTAACAGTGAGTTGCCATTTATCACAGTAAGAAGAAAATTTATCTAAGCAGCTAAAAAAATTTCCTGTAGACCTCCTTTTGATTCTGACATTATTAATAAATCATCTGCAAACATTAATCTTCCAATAACAGAACTTTCTAAAGTTAGCGGTTGACAATCATTTCCTGAGAATAAATTTCATTTATATATATGTTAAAAAGGGTAGGGCTTAAAGAATCCCCTTGCCTAACTCCTCGGTTTATATCAAAGTAGTCAGTTAAGCAATTGTTAATTTTCAGTGCTGACATTGTCTTAGAATACATACATTTAATCATATTAATCATCTTATTGCCAACTCCTGAAGACAAAAGTTTAAAAAATAAAGCTTTGTAACGCCACACAGAATCAAAAGCTTTGTGCAAGTGAATGAAGCATGCATAAATTTTTCTCTTACCAAGATGTATGTATTTATTTATTAAGTTTTTAGTACAAACAAACTGTCAGTTGTCCTCATTTTAGGTCGAAAACCTTGAAATTTACTAAATTTGTCTTCCATATAAATCATTACCCGTTCATTTAATACTGCACGAAATATTTTTGCTACACCATTTAAGAGTGAAATACCCCTATAATTATTTGGGTCAAGTGGATTACCTCCCTTAAATAAAGGGACTATATATGAGTTAAGCCAAGTTTCTGGATAAAATCCTGATGAAAATATTAAATGAAAAGTATAGTGTCAGACTTAACAGGACAACTTGCTTTTACTATTTCATTTAATATGAGATCAGGACGTACCACATGATTTACTAACTTTAAGAGACTTAATTACTCATTTTACCTCTGTTATTGTTATAGGTTTATCAGTTATATTGTTATCTTTGTAATTATTTACATCTGATAGAAAATTTTCTATCTCTTCTAGCTATATGTGTTTTATTTTCAGATTCTATCCAGTCACCCTGAGATTGGAAGTGTTTCATTAAATTTTTGGGTTGAAAATTATCGTAGCTAGATGTATTGTTGTTATTATGGGTATAACTATTAGCTTCTTTCAACAATTTCCAAAATTCTTGTGGATTTTCAGTTTTAGCGTCTAATAATTTTTTTATAAAATTTTGTCTGAACTGGGTTTTTTTTTCTTTTAGCACACTTCTTCAATAACACACTTTTTCAAATCTTTAGCTGTTATAAAATAATTATTTCTTAATGTTTTATCAAATGGCTTAGATTTCAATTGTTTCCTAAGAAAATTTATTTTTGATTTTAATTTTCTAATTTCACTGTCAGACCAAGGTTTTTTAATTTTCTTTTTTTTCATATAATGAATTGGACTTTTTCTTAAGCAAACATCTTTCGATATGTTATCAAATATGGTTTTGAGGTTTTCAGATGCTGAATTAATACCCGACTCACTGATTTCAAAATTTTTTTGCTCGAAGTTGTAACAATCATATTTATCACTTCCTTAGAGGACAATGTTTTATAAATTTTGTTTTTAGACTCTGGCATCCATTTGTATACATGTAGGCCTTATTAATTTCTTGACAAATATCTTTTATATAACCTTCAATATATTGTATTGTATAAAGCTTTTATAACTATTAAAAAGAATGAAGTGTATATATGTAACCTGAGTTTGTATCAAAAGTCGAAACATAATATATAACATGTTTGTAAGAAAAAAAAATTAAATCAAAAGAGAAAGAGAAGATAACTGTTGTCTTTTGGTCCACATAATAGAGAGAGAGAGAAAGAGAAATTAGTAGTACATTTGGTAATTAAATAATAATTAAAAAGAAATAACTTTTAATCTGTAAATCACTTAGTCAAAGTAAACTAGAGGCTCTCAAGAGCCTGTGTCGCTCACCTGTATTTACTGATGCTTTGGAAATCATGTAAAATAAGGTTAAAATCATAATTAATAGTATTAGATATTAGATATTATAATGGTATCTAAGATAATAACAAAAAACTGCAAAGTAAAATTACTAACTCAGGGGCAGCAACCCAACAACAGGTTGTCGGATTCGTCTGAAAATTTCAGGGCAAATAAATCTACATCTGATGAACATTTTTGCCACCTGTCAGATTTGCTCTAAATGCTTTAGTTTCAGAGATATAAACCAAAAACTGCATTTTACCCCTATGTTCTATTTTTAACCAAGTCGGCCATGATGGTTGGAAGGCGGGGTCATCAGACAAATTTTTTAAACTAGATACCCTAATAATGATTATGGCCAAGTATGGTTAAATTTGTCTCAGTAGTTTCAGAGAAGAAGATTTTTGTAAAAGATTACAAAAATTTACGAAAAATTGTTAAAAATTGACTATAAAGGGCAATAACTCCTAAAGGGGTCGACTGACATTTTGGTCATACGACTTATTTGTAGATCTTACTTTGCTGAACATTATTGCTGTTTACAGTTTATCTCTATCTATAACAATATTCAAGATAATAACCAAAAACTGCAAAATTTCCTTAAAATTACCAATAATGGGGTAGCAAACCCAACAACAGGTTGTCACATTTGTCTGAAAATTTCAGGGCAGATAGATCTTGACCTAATAATCAGTTTTACCCTATGTCAGATTTACTCTAAATGCTTTGGTTTCAGATATATAAGCCAAAATCTACATTTTACCCCTATGTTCTATTTTAAGCCATGGCAGCCATCTTGGTTGGTTGGCGGGGTCATCGGACATATTTTTTAAACTAGATACCCTAATGATGATTGTGGCCAAGTTTAGTTAAATTTGGCCCACTGGTTTCAGAGGAGAAGATTTTTGTAAAAAGCTAACAACAACGGACGATGACGACGACGGACTCCAAGTGATGAGAAAAGCTCACTTGGCCCTTCGGGCCAGGTGAGCTAAAAATAGTCTCTAGTAACCACTCTAACTTATTGAATTATTTTCTTTTTATAAGAGCTGATATTTAAAGTGCATTCTTTACTGTTTCCATTATTCTGTCACCGACATAATTAATAAGGGGTCTAATGCCAGGTAAAGTGCTCACAAAACATATTTACATCCCTTTGACAAGTCTGTTATTGGATTAAAATCGAGTCATTTGATTGCAGTTAGTCCACTAAAATTACAAATTTAAGATAGTTCAACTTTTTGAAATTTCAACAAGACTTACAGTAAAATATTTCTGTATTCATACCCTGTACCCTGTATATTTATGTACCTTTGTATTGATTCCAACTTTTGACAGATCCGATAGCATTCCATAGCAGTTATTAGCAGTTTTGAAAACCATATTAGGATGTAAAACTTAGCAGTGTGTATGAATATTCATTATTGATAGCTGTTATTATAGCAGTTCTCATGAATATTCAGAGAAGTAAGCAGTTTTTGGGTATCTCATTTAAATTTTTAGTCAAAAATAACTGCTAAATAACTGTGAAGGCTAAATAAACTGCTAAGAAACTACTAAGTAATGCTATTGGGATGCCTATATGCAAATTAACCATTTCCTTGAATTTGGCAACTGTGAATGCTAATGAACTGCTAAAGAACAGCTGACAAGTAAGAACTGCAATGTGAATGCTAATAAACTGCTAAAGAACAGCTGACAAGTAAGAACTGCAATGTGAATGCTAATAAACTGCTTAAGAACTACTACTATTGATGATAATCGTGTGTTTCAGAGAAGAAGATTTTTTTTGTCATCCTCAGACATTTGTCAGAATGATATTTGAAATTGTTTTATTGACTTTAAAAAAATCTTTTTTATTTTGTAAAGAAAAAATAAAAGAAATAAATACCTGTCACAGGACTTGATAATAAATCTGTCTGACTATATTGGGACAAATCCTTGTCTCTCTCATCTTCTGCATTCAAATAAAAAGGCAAGAAAACAATGAATTAATGGACTTCGTATCTTTTATAAGATCAAGGTATTGAACTTGACTATCATATTGATAGTAAGATTGAGTTAAAGATACATAAATGGGGAATGTGTCCATGGGACACACTGATGATGCCCCAGCTTGCATATCATATAAGTGTCATGGACTTAGTATCTTTTATGAAATCAAGGAACTGAACTTGACCATCACATTGATAGTAAGATTGAGTTAAAGATACAAAATGTAGTAACTTTTGATTGGAGGATGATGTATTCTCAAACTACATTATATGATTGCTGTAAAGTAGCGGTATGTCAGACCAACCTAATTTTTAATAAACAGTTACACCAACATGACCAAGTTAAATAATTCTTTATATAAAATTTTAAAATCCAGTGAACTATCAAATCTTGGATATGTACATTCACTTTATACAGTTTCTCAAAAGTCTATCTACACAGAAGATCAACTAGATGTTAACTCATATTAAAGATTTTATCAGAACTAACAGAATATTGTGATTCATTACTTAAGATGTAATACCACTAAAACATAGTACATCACATCCGGTTTGATACAAAAAGGGTTGAACAAAATTATTCCGTTGAATTTGACGGATGTGGTCCGAGTACACAGTTATCGTCTTCATGTAAGGCCCCCCTTCATTGGAAAACCTCCATTTTTAGGCACAGGCTCATATAAATTTGACTTTTTAATAATTATGTTAAGTCTGATAAATCAAATGAGTACTCTATTGCTTTTAATACATAATATATTATATATTAAGGCATTTCAAAAGTTTTTTTTTGCAATATTTTAATTTTTTAAGCCCTAAATGTTGATAGTTGAAATTTTTCAATTTTAACGTCTAAGTTTAACACACAAAGTGGAATATAGAATTAGTCATATTGTCTATAATATATATCCTATTGCCATGAAACTTTGTAAGCAGTGTTATAATTTATTAAGCTTTGGTCATACCAAGTTTCATTAAGATTGGTCAACTTTTTCTACCCTATTAGGTCCGAGTACACAGTTATCGTCCTTTGATTTTCGTTGTTCACGAATATAGTCCCTAGTGTGGACAGTGTGTTACTTGCTATTTTTTTTTATACCCCTTCCAAATTTATTTCTCCATGTTTTATGACTCAAATAGCAAGTAGGGGGGTGAAATGACACTGTAAAAAAATTTGGGTCATGAATTTTAAAGTAAAGTAGTGATTTGGTCCAGCTGAAAAATGTCAAAAATTAGCACTTCGGAAGCTGTCAAAAGATTTGAAGACCCCCTTAACATAAAATTGTCCATATTTTGAGTTAGAGCCGATGAAGTTTTCTATAATTTTGATATAATTTGTCCCAAAAGTAGTACAACACACTGTAAAAATATTATTGAGAAAGCGCAGGTGGGATTTTTTTAATTTTCATTTATTGTCTAAAAGAAATGCACTACGAAATAACTGTGTACTCGGACCTAAGAGGTGAAATCAGGAAATATAGAATCTGTACTTTGGCAACTTCCCCGAATGATTTGATGGTGTCAATTTGTCAAATAGCATAAAACTAAAGTATTTAAACTTTTATTTCATAGAATTTCTGCAAAAATGACCGATTTGGGCATTTTATGGTCAAAATAAGCATTTCATAGCTTTTTCAATTTTGATGCATAAGTGGCATTCTGACTTTCTATCTGACAGGTTTTTATGTGTCAATATTTGTGTTTCTATGCTTCAATCCAGTTGTATTACTCATTTGTGAACTCTGAATCTACAGAAAAGAAGATTATCTCATACAATATGTGCAAAATGTGTTGTATATATGACCCTCGTCTAACGCCCTGTTTGGATCAAGTTAAATGTGAGGAGCTTGGAACATAAAAGTTGAAGTCCATAATAAAGACCTCACTAAATTTGTATAAAAAGCACTTAACAATGTCTTTTGTAGCTGTTTCATGTCACATAATATCTTTCTTTTCTTCTGTAGGATAGCAAGTGGTTCAAATATAAGCCTGTTGAGACTAAAATTGCAAGCATGTTTTTCACTAAAAAGTGAAAAATCTTTGTATCAGACCATACTGTCTGCAAAAAAAGTTGAATGCAAGAGTCTTTTTGTGCTCAGATTTATTGTATCATGTCACCTGAGTATAGAAATGATAGAAAAGACACAAATTTTTACTTCCTATAGCTTCAATATGCATTTTTAAATGTAAATATGTGCTACGGCCTAAATTGACCCTAAATTATTTTCAGTCTTACTTGGCCTGAGACCCTTTTAAACTAATATGATATGTTATTTGTAAGTTTTCTTTCCATTTAAAGTACATTAAATACATATGTAAGGATTATTTATAGCCAAAAAGCTTTACAAATTTAAAATTGCTGGAAAATATTACATCTTCATGTAAGGCCCCCCTTCATTGGAAAACCTCCATTTTTAGGCACAGGCTCATATAAATTTGACTTTTTAATAATTATGTTAAGTCTGATAAATCAAATGAGTACTCTATTGCTTTTAATACATAATATATTATATATTAAGGCATTTCAAAAGTTTTTTTTTGCAATATTTTAATTTTTTAAGCCCTAAATGTTGATAGTTGAAATTTTTCAATTTTAACGTCTAAGTTTAACACACAAAGTGGAATATAGAATTAGTCATATTGTCTATAATATATATCCTATTGCCATGAAACTTTGTAAGCAGTGTTATAATTTATTAAGCTTTGGTCATACCAAGTTTCATTAAGATTGGTCAATTTTTTCTACCCTATTAGGTCCGAGTACACAGTTATCGTCCTTTGATTTTCGTTGTTCACGAATATAGTCCCTAGTGTGGACAGTGTGTTACTTGCTATTTTTTTTTATACCCCTTCCAAATTTATTTCTCCATGTTTTATGACTCAAATAGCAAGTAGGGGGGTGAAATGACACTGTAAAAAAATTTGGGTCATGAATTTTAAAGTAAAGTAGTGATTTGGTCCAGCTGAAAAATGTCAAAAATTAGCACTTCGGAAGCTGTCAAAAGATTTGAAGACCCCCTTAACATAAAATTGTCCATATTTTGAGTTAGAGCCGATGAAGTTTTCTATAATTTTGATATAATTTGTCCCAAAAGTAGTACAACACACTGTAAAAATATTATTGAGAAAGCGCAGGTGGGATTTTTTTAATTTTCATTTATTGTCTAAAAGAAATGCACTACGAAATAACTGTGTACTCGGACCTAAGAGGTGAAATCAGGAAATATAGAATCTGTACTTTGGCAACTTCCCCGAATGATTTGATGGTGTCAATTTGTCAAATAGCATAAAACTAAAGTATTTAAACTTTTATTTCATAGAATTTCTGCAAAAATGACCGATTTGGGCATTTTATGGTCAAAATAAGCATTTCATAGCTTTTTCAATTTTGATGCATAAGTGGCATTCTGACTTTCTATCTGACAGGTTTTTATGTGTCAATATTTGTGTTTCTATGCTTCAATCCAGTTGTATTACTCATTTGTGAACTCTGAATCTACAGAAAAGAAGATTATCTCATACAATATGTGCAAAATGTGTTGTATATATGACCCTCGTCTAACGCCCTGTTTGGATCAAGTTAAATGTGAGGAGCTTGGAACATAAAAGTTGAAGTCCATAATAAAGACCTCACTAAATTTGTATAAAAAGCACTTAACAATGTCTTTTGTAGCTGTTTCATGTCACATAATATCTTTCTTTTCTTCTGTAGGATAGCAAGTGGTTCAAATATAAGCCTGTTGAGACTAAAATTGCAAGCATGTTTTTCACTAAAAAGTGAAAAATCTTTGTATCAGACCATACTGTCTGCAAAAAAAGTTGAATGCAAGAGTCTTTTTGTGCTCAGATTTATTGTATCATGTCACCTGAGTATAGAAATGATAGAAAAGACACAAATGTTTACTTCCTATAGCTTCAATATGCATTTTTAAATGTAAATATGTGCTACGGCCTAAATTGACCCTAAATTATTTTCAGTCTTACTTGGCCTGAGACCCTTTTAAACTAATATGATATGTTATTTGTAAGTTTTCTTTCCATTTAAAGTACATTAAATACATATGTAAGGATTATTTATAGCCAAAAAGCTTTACAAATTTAAAATTGCTGGAAAATATTACATCTTCATGTAAGGCCCCCCTTCATTGGAAAACCTCCATTTTTAGGCACAGGGTATGTTAAGTCTGATAAATCAAATGAGTACTCTATTGCTTTTAATACATAATATATTATATATTAAGGCATTTCAAAAGTTTTTTTTTGCAATATTTTAATTTTTTAAGCCCTAAATGTTGATAGTTGAAATTTTTCAATTTTAACGTCTAAGTTTAACACACAAAGTGGAATATAGAATTAGTCATATTGTCTATAATATATATCCTATTGCCATGAAACTTTGTAAGCAGTGTTATAATTTATTAAGCTTTGGTCATACCAAGTTTCATTAAGATTGGTCAACTTTTTCTACCCTATTAGGTCCGAGTACACAGTTATCGTCCTTTGATTTTCGTTGTTCACGAATATAGTCCCTAGTGTGGACAGTGTGTTACTTGCTATTTTTTTTTATACCCCTTCCAAATTTATTTCTCCATGTTTTATGACTCAAATAGCAAGTAGGGGGTGAAATGACACTGTAAAAAAATTTGGGTCATGAATTTTAAAGTAAAGTAGTGATTTGGTCCAGCTGAAAAATGTCAAAAATTAGCACTTCGGAAGCTGTCAAAAGATTTGAAGACCCCTTTAACATAAAATTGTCCATATTTTGAGTTAGAGCCGATGAAGTTTTCTATAATTTTGATATAATTTGTCCCAAAAGTAGTACAACACACTGTAAAAATATTATTGAGAAAGCGCAGGTGGGATTTTTTTAATTTTCATTTATTGTCTAAAAGAAATGCACTACAAAATAACTGTGTACTCGGACCTAAGAGGTGAAATCAGGAAATATAGAATCTGTACTTTGGCA